CTTAAAACAGAGCTGGAACAAGATCCAACAGCTGGCCAAAGACAGACAGAAGTGGAAGAACTTTGTTGCTAGCCTATGTGCCAGTGGGCACAATGGGCAGTGAGTGAGTGTGAGTGAGTTAGGCAAAGAAATTGCAGACTGCTGTTTGCCATTCATCGTCAAGTGCTGTAAGCATTTCCTTTCTCTTAGAAGCTCAGTAGCCTAGTAGCAGTGTACAGGCAGGTGCAATTAGAGTTTGAGGTTTCAAGTCAACTGGCAAAAAAAGCTAAATAAACTCAGGTTTAGGCAAAGAAATTGCAGACTGCTCTTCGCCATTCATCGTCAAGTGCTGTAAGCATTTCCTTTCTCTTAGAAGCTCAGTAGCCTAGTAGCAGTGTACAGGCAGGTGCAATTAGAAGAAGACCTACCACAAATAGAGAGAAAAATTCATGATTGAGGTCTACGGAGAAAAAAAGCAAACGTTAGAATTTAAAGCAGTCCCGAATAAGAAGAAGTACCAGTAAACATTAATGTAGCCCGGGCTCCGTGACAGATGCCATTTCAGGTTTTTTGTGGGAAGAGGCTCAGCGAGATATCAAAATTCTGTTTCCACTATTCATCTACAAAGCTTTACATTTAAGGAGAGTTTGGCTCGACATCACCGCAAGCAAATTGGCAACTATCTGCGTTCAGCATTGGGGTAAAGTCAAATTTTATAATTCTCCCACAGTTTCTGAGCAACATTGCAGCAATTGCTTTCTGAGAAAACCTCAAACCATCCGTTGTATGTGGTCTACTTTAGTTAATTAGTTTTGTGTAAACAGCTTCTCTAATAACTGTGGTTTAGTTACTAAACCTCAGTAAGCAGTAACTGTAGCAAACCTCTCTCGTGAAAACACGGTAAGTGTTGACATACACGTACAGTGTACATGTAATTCTGGCACTTATCACTTACAATCACTTATATGTAGTACATATTCGAAATCCAATTTTATAAAATGACTGACTCTCATTGGTCCATAGGTGTGTTTAATTAGATGAGAGTACAAATATACGGTGATGGACAAAACACTGACCCCCAGTCCATGGACTACCTTAATGGACTACCTTAATGGACTACCCTAAAATGGACTACCCCTAAAAAACACTATTTCAGATGAGTGGTATGTTAAGAAGCTGCAATTATATACTTACACTGTATGGAGGATGCTTTTCTTTTCGTTCTGCATCGCCTTCAGCTGCCATTTTGAATAACTATACAGAATAAAACAACTGCTGAACAGAAAACGCATAGATTCAAGCCACTTGAAGTGTCAGCAGAACATGCCAGCATGGACAGCTCAGGTAAAACCTTCAATAACAAAATCTGTTTCCATCTTACAACTTGAGTAGCCTGCAATACAGGCAGATTAGCGGGCTCTAGCATGATACACGAACGCGCGTGAAGCGCGAGAACGAGCGCGAAGCGTGAGGCGAGAAAAATCTCGCCTTGCACTTCGTGCTTGTTCTCGCGCTTCGCACGTGCTCGTGTATCATGCTAGAGCCCGCTAATCCGCCTGTACTGCAGGCTATAACTTGAGTTACAACTGGACGTTGTCGATTGTACGTATATTTGAATTAATCCTCAGATGAAGAATTTGATGAGTTTAGTAAATCACATGGGAGCAAGATATTTGATTTGATATGAGTCTCCGCTTTTTGTGTGCAGCAGTTATTCAGTATATTTATTCAAAATGGCGGCTGAAGGCGATGCAGAATGAAAAGAAAAGCATCCTCCGTGCAGTGTAAGTATATAATCGCAGCTTCTTAACATACCACTCATCTGAAATAGCATTTTTCAGGGGTAGTCCATTTTAGGGTAGTCCATTTGGGTAGTCCATTAGGGTAGTCCATGGACTAGGGGTCAGTGTTTTGTTCATCACCCTCTCGGGTTTGCATGGCTAATGTTGCAAACACAGAAAAAGTGCTCTATTGCTTAAATTTAATATAACAAAACGATTAAGGGGCTTTGATTTAGTCGCCCGTAGGGCTGCAATGATACTTTTCCCCACGATACGATACCTGGAAGTCAATAATAAAAGCTCTTTAATTATTTAAGTACGCAAACTCCTAAACTAAAACATATGTCACTTCTGCATGATGTTCAATATTGATGTCCACGTACATAAACTTAAGACTAAACTAGGCTTGCTCGAGATATTCGAGCAGCGAAAAAGATTTGAGCCATCTAAAGCAACCTACCTAATTCTCTGTGGACCTCGAGCTTATTAGTTTCATTGTCTTCTTTTAGCTTCTGTCGAAATTCCTCCCATGTAACAAAACCGTCGCCATCTCGATCGACCTCTTTAAACATTCGCTTATTGTTCTCACGAGCCTCTTTGATGTGTTCTTTGATTTTTTCATGAATCCACACGGTGATTTCAGCCCTGCTCACTAAATGGTCTCCATCTTTATCCACCTGATGAAAAAGATCAATCAACCGCCTGTAACCGTCCATGTTGTCGAATAGCAGGGTCCCATCTTCCACCATCTTTCCGAGGAAAGCTTCGTGGTGGTAGTCTTTGTTGACATGGCCGTCTCGTTCAAGTTTCAAACCTTTGATGTGATCTTCGAGTAGCTGTTTCTTCGTTTTGATAGATTCATTTGCAGTTTCAGGGGAAAGCGTTCTACTTGTGTTTACTGGCTTGCCATCACAAACTGAGAGCAAACCCAAGATACAGACAACAAGGCCTTTCACGACCGCCATCTTGGGACGACAAAGGCATACTCGTCCCAGACTCTTTTAGTACACGTGTAAAGCGTCGGACGCTTTTTTTGTTGTTGTTTTTATGTTGTTTTTATGTAGGAGACATTTTTCCATTTTTGTGTGATTTATTTAGGGATTAAATGAAAAGAATAAAAATTCAGAGGTTATCTTTGCCGTTTGACGTCTGCCGTTAACGTCATGCTTAAACTCTCTCTTAAACGCCAAACGGAACACTCATATAGGAAAGAAAAGGATTTTCTCATGGTTATCATGGCTATCGTACTGCTCGTGAGCGCGTACGTACGACGACGAAGGCGGTGCAGTCGCGCAAGATGGCAGCCGTACTAATAAGTTGAAAGAGACATGCAGCCTTGCTTGGTTTATAGCGTCCTTCCTTGATATTGGACATCCCTGTTATGGTCAATTGACACCTGTCAAAACAAGGCATTCGCTGACCATTATCACGTGACCATATCGCGGGCTCAAATTTACAGCTCATCGAGTGGTATTTGCAATGCATGAATAGGAGGATATCGTTGTTTGTTTTTGTGTGATTTACCAGTTAAGGATTAGAAGAAAAGAAAATCAGAAGGAATTTTTGCCGTTTGCCGTTTGCCGTAAACGTCACGGTCGACATATTTAACCTCTTATATTCCAGCTGTCATGTGGGAAGGGGTAACCACCTGGTGCCGAACTGTCATGACCTAAGTAGAAGTCACATGGAGCGACGCATGACATGCTGCACAAAATAGGACTAAATGGAAAGAGATTCCTGTTGCCTCGTGTCCCACAGGGGAAGACGAAGATTAGGTTAAGTATGTGGGGAGGGAAAGGAGAAATTGGCGAGGCCGCTATTTGTCAACCGCCCCCCTCCCTATGGAAGTCCCGCCCAGCCAATCCTTAGAAATTTCCAGGGCTTGATTATTACAACACACAATATTACTTCCTCACCCCAATATTTTATTCGATTCACAATAATTAGTAAACTTCATGAAGAAGTCAAAAGAGGTATCATAGACGTTTTGTTTTAACATTTGTTCCGTGCTCCAATGTAGTCGCCTTTATTTTAATCTGAAAAAAGAAACGAAAATATTAATTAGATGGCGATTTTAAATGAGCTGGAAGGAAATGTTGAAACAGTAATATCGAAGTTTGGCGAACTTATCCAGGTTAAAACGTGGAGACTGTTGTTAAAGAGGGGGGAGGGGGTGAGGCGAAACGGTGTCCTGATTGCTGATCATTATAGGTATTTTTTTTCTTCTCTATTTTTTTTAATGCTTTTACGCAAACCAAAGATCATCATCTGACGAATCAACAGACAGACAGACAGACAGACAGACGGGCAGAAGGACAGTAGACGGACGGACGGACGGTCGGACGGATGGATGGATAGATACAAAATGAACACTAGGACACTAGCTCAAACATCATACGTGTCTGCGTCAATACTCGGCTATGGACACGTTCCATCTGTGAAGAATACGTCATCAATAGCAATGTCTCCTTGATAACCGTTTCCTCGAATGCCAACAAATTTGATCTGANAAAAAACTGATCTGCATCACCCAAACCGAGTAATGTCAAAACGTGACAAGAAAAAAAAAACATAGGCAGTCCTCATTGGAAGAATCTTCTTTAAAATTAGGTGTCGTCATTTGCAATATTACTGGTACAGTTCAGTAGTTTTCTGCTGACTAAGTTGCTGTTCATGTTCATTATGCATTTGGCAATTGCAAGTCCCTTCCTTCAATAAAGGACGTACTTTAACAAATGACAAATGAGACATTCTTCATTGGAAGAATTTTTTGATTGAGCGTCTTGATTAATAATTTTAGTGGTAAACTAAAGTAAAGTAGTTTTCTGTAGTTCAAGTTTTCAGTTGTTACGCTATTCATTGACCTGTTCGTTGTGAAATTTGACAGGTCTGTTACAATTGCTAAAATTTTGTTGACTTGTTAAGTTTTTCGGTACCGTAGCTAGTATGTACATATCTCTACAGTGTACTGTAGATCTCTACAGTGTACTGGCGTAGCTTCATGACCTGTTTAGTTTTCCGGTGCCGTTGCTATGCAAAGATGTGTGCAGTGTTCTGTAGTTTCATATAGTCATTAAAGCACAACTGTTATTTTCAGTAATGGTTCAGATCCAGCAATGTTTGGTAGTCCAACGTAACACCATAAAAAAACCAATTATTAACTGGGGTATAACGAAAATTTTGATTGTTTTCCGCAAATTCGTTGTATCGACGTTTTCGATATAACGAACCTTCGATGTAACGAACAAATGGCCAATAGACCTTTTTACCGACACGGCGGCCATCTTGAATTTCATTGTTCCAAATAGCTCGAGGGGCGGGGCAAATTAGTGTGTGTTTGCCCCCTAAGCAATCCACGATAGCTGATCTAAAGCAGTGGTATTCAAAATGGCCGCCCTATGGGTAAAAAGGTCTACTCCCTCTATGAGATATGCCTGCAGGGAATCATGGTAGTTGTATTCATTATATCTTGGACTGGATATTTGTTTTGATGGATGCAACTACCATGATTCCCTGCAGGCGTTTCTCATGGAAGGAATTTCCATTCCCCCAGTCCCTTGGCGTTTCATTCAATCGAGGTTCCACTGTCTGTACTTAAATGTTACCGCGTTTTGGCGTGACAGTAATTTAGGTTCTTCGCAATAAATTTACAAATGGGCACGTTACATGTATTTGTTTCTTCAGTGGTAAAGCTCACAACGATAGCTTACCCTATAGAGGGAGCCCCAGTAAGGAAGATAGGAATTGAGGTTAACCCGCGCCAAGTGCCACTGATTTCCTTGGTTTTGACTTTTTTCCCAAATCGTTACATTATTATCGAGCATATCTGGTGAGTATATCACTTTCAAAGTGTCAATGTCATCTCCATACATGTGATAATAGAACTGTAAACACCGCTCTTTGGGTAGCGGAAAGAGCTTGCTTTGCAGGACAGCATAATCACCGAGTTTGCGGGGTTTTGAGGTCTCGATGTACATGAAAAATCCTGTGAAGACGCATGAAAAAACAAATTGTTGAGAAATTTATCCATATTTTTAATATATTCATTTATGTAGAAGACATCTGGATGCAGATTGTCAATATTCTTTGTGATGCATTCTCGGAATTTGTAGTAAAAAGCATACGTAAATGGAGAGACCGGGAAGGCACTCCCAAAATAAGCAAGTGGGGTGTGCGGCCCGCTTCCCAAAACCCTTACCCTATTCCCTATTTATGATCAAAATCTGTGACTTCCCTATCCTATTTTCGACCTCACCAAAAATTCAATACTCTCTTTATGACGACCTGACCCTTTATTAATACACTGTTTCAGACCTGCCTTATAATTAGTTCCCTGGTTCAGACCAATGTTAAAGGCTTTACGAAGGGTTTTTGGCGATGGTCTCATCGATAATGATGAAAACGTAGTTTCATCTTAAAAACACACCCATATCAAGACTACAGTGCAAAAACCATACCCTATTAATGACCAAAATGGCCAAAATCGATACCCTATTTATGACCAAAACGGCTGAAAAACCATACCCTTTGTGGCCGCACATACCCATATAGCCCGTATAAGGGAGTACGTCCCTGGATGGAGATCATGTACATCTGCATGCATGATAACTTCTTGACTAATTGTCTTAAGCAAGATTTAGACTTACAAGGATTACTATAGTTTGAAGCTCTAAATTGAAGCTCTGAAGCTCATATTACAGTACTACGCCGTAGAATTTGATTACACGCAACAATCACTAGCGGCAGAAACGTTTGAGTGCACCATTGAGGGCTAGGGTTTAACACATGGTTATCAACACGTCATCGTTTTCGAAACCCCCGTTTTCAAAGTGTTTTCCGTCCGCAATAAACCGCAAAGGCGGCATTTTTTGAAGAGCGTTTTCGAAAATAAAAGCTCCGTTTTCGAGACGAATTAGTGTGAACGGTAGGCTTAACCTTAGAAATAATGCTGCGTTTTCAAATTTCCCTCGTGTAGTGTGGACGGGGCCTTAGAAACTTTTACAATCATTTGGTAATGATTAATCATTAAGTGTATCATTTAAGCGTATTATTAAACTCACCAAAGCGGAGAGTCGTGTGATCGGTCGCGGGACCGGTATTTCCACTGGGGGTCTTACCCATGCGAATCGTCCAATCAAAATAGTCTCCATCGACATTGGTCCATCCACATAAGCCATTTTCAAATGTACAGTCGTCAGGACCTCCCGGGAAATAGAAAATAAAATGATCTAGCTGAAGCAGGTGAATAAGACATACGGTTTACTTAAGGTGATAAGCCTTTTGTTAAGGTTCACATACAAATTTAAAAGACCTCATATTTCGTTATAGCTATATTCAGATATCAATCTCCAAATAATACACTTTCTCATAGAACTATATAAGAGTACGTGACGACAGGAGATATATATATAAGACTAGTTGAGATACGAAGCTGAGAACAGTTTTCGATTAACTTCGCCAACTTTTGCTGGGATCGAGGTCTGCGGAAGCAACCGAAAATACAAATAGGCAAAAATATTTGTAATTTACAGTTACTAATTTGTTGCCGGGAGAAAGCTAATAACGCAATGCGGGTAGCATGAAGACTAGGATGTCACCACAGCAATCGCCATCACAAGTGTTCGCAATCTTTCTGTAGGCTTTTTTCTTTTGAACCACGTTGGTTGGTTTAGTGGTTTAGCTGTAACAATTTACCAGTCAGTAAACTCGTAGCCCAAGCACGAATTGTCGAAGAAAAAAAATGGAACATATGATAAAATCCAAGAAAGCAAAGCTAAGATGATCGAGAAAACAATAGGAGGAACTGTCTCCGTCCCATTTAATGAGTGTTCATACTAACTGTGGCTAGATTTCAACCACAACTAAACTAAACGTAACTTATATTCCAATTTTTCTTTGCAGCAATTCGTAACAAACTGAAAAACACAGGATTCCCTTTCTCGATGTTCAGAATAAATAATTAAAAGCCCCAGCCTTCGGCCTCTTCTACCGATAACACCTTATCTCGCCTTCGATTATTCTTAAGACCACAAAAAAACGAATTATGGTCTATATGTGTCAGTGTTTTACACTTCTCTTTACTTACCATTAGGGGGTGGCTGAGGGGAGGGGATCACTTGAGGTCTGGTGGTTGTCCCTAAAGAAAATGTCAATACTCAGTTGCAATTGCAATTCTTAACTCTCAATACATAATTTTTTTACAATCCATGTTTGTCAAAAGGTTCAGCTATAAAGTGAAATAAAAAATAAAATTAGAAATAGCGCCGAAGGCAAGCGAAAATAGATAACTGCTGTTTTATGTTTTAGAAACCGCTTCGACACTGGTTGTTATGAAATGAAGAGATTTTACTGTCGCCTCAAGCGACAGTAAAATGTGCATGATTGACGTCTTCAATCCTTCTCCTATACCAAAAGTGTAGAGTTTAAAATTGTAAAACAAGTCGTAATCAAAATGTTGCTTAGAAAAGCAAACAGCATCGATTAAGAATGGTAATCAATGAGGTTAAGGTTATTCCTTAGTATTGTATTGCGCATCCCTACTGCGCACGATTTTCGCGTCATTAGCGCGCGCATATGAGACCGCGCGCGTACAAAACGTAAGAGATTTCCCTCAAACTATGCTCGTAGCGAAGTAAATGCTCCTTTTCTCTTAAACGAGCACGGTGACCCCCACTTTTTATTTCATAATTTCAATGAGAACAATATCCTCAATGACTGAGAAAAAAAAAAAATAGCAGAAATCTATGGCTACTTTTTTGGCAAATGAAATAAATACTACAGAGGGAGACATAACGGGCCCAACAGCGCATGTCCAAATTATGTTTCCTTTAAAGGATAAAAAATGCAGGGTATTGGAAGGCATTTGTTCTGGGACGTAGATGAATAAACAATCAAAGAAAGTCAAACTCTGTTTGATATGACACACTGCATTGAAAAATAATCGAGCTTACTTGTTGCGCACGGAGATTACTAAAAGTCACCAAAATAACCGTATTTGTCAGCATTGTGGCGTGAAAAAAAGCACGGTGACCCACTCTTTTTACTACGTTTTTAATATCTCCTTGTCGTGTAACAACAGTAGACCAAGTTTCATCGGAAATCTATGGCGGGTTCTTTTACTAGGGAATCACCTTAATTTGAATGTAAATACATTAGGGTTATATCCACAGACATAGTACAGAAGTACCGCAGTGCCACAGCTTCATGCATGCTTAAGCCGGTGAACAGGCTCCGGCTGGAAGGGTCTGACCGCGGATCGATGGAAGGGCCAAGAATGAACTGGCTCAGAGCCAAGTGGCCGAGTGGGGAATAGTGTGGGGGCTGGGGCGTGGGGGCTCTAACCTCCTTTCTCTTCTATCTTTCTCTTCGCCCCATCCTCGACAAGAGAGCCTCTTCACAGGGTATGCATGCTTTGGGTGATATCTTAACAGTAGGATTACGTTTATCGACCGACCCACTTCTAGTCTCATAGTACAGCTTACCGTGGCATTCATATAACAAGTCTGCCTGCTTGATGTCCATGGGACTTAGACCGATCCGCTGACCAAGCTGAACGACTGACGGTTCTTTGGCGATGATGGTGGTTCGGCCATTGCCAAACGCGGTAGACGAGTAGTGCATGACGGACAGGTAATCATAAGGAACTCCCAGGGAGTCCACCTGTGTTCTGTTGTACTTCCGAAAGTTGTGTTTCTTGTCTGAATAGGACAAGAACCTTTACAATCAACTGTGAAAGTTATTTCTGGTCAGATTGGCGACGAATCGTGGTTTATAAAATAAATGCCGCTGGAAGATATCATGCATATTAATTACAACACGCGGTGTAGTGTATTAGGACAGCGTTTGCACAGCGAAGTTCATGTACATCCGGAAATTGAGTGATTGTGTGTGAGCGGGAGACAGCGAGCGGACGTGTACTCAGAGTGTTCTGATGGCATGCCTTAGTAGCTTCACAACACTACAGTCAGATAAATGAGCTCAATAAATATTAATAGTAATAAAAAATCCTCAAATGTGAAGTTTTAATTGGAAGCATGGGTCTTAGAGATGGAACAGACATCGACAATTTGAGTTTAAATGTCACGAATAATATATTTCAATAGCATATTTAATTGCAGGGCACGAAATTTGGACTAAATTTAAGGCTAAATTAGCTTATAAACTGAGCCTAGAAAATTGACTATAATTTAAGGAGTTCTTTTTGTACATGGAACCAGACAGTTCGCTCGAATTTCACAAAATGCCCTTCAAAATTGAATAGCATGGGCCATACAATTTTGTGAGCGATTGAAAACATGACTGGTACTTTTTCATTCTACATGGCACTCGAAATAATCATGTGATTGCCTTTAGATGAACTCATGGCACGTTTTAGCAGCCGTTGACATGAAAGGTAATCCCTACCTTCTGGTATATTCTTCCAAATAATTTCCACGTGTGAATCTCTATCAGGTCGACTCTGTTCATGCCAGAATCCCATAGCGTGCCCTGCAGCGGTCAATAGTTACACACAATAACGAATTATTGACGTTTACACTTATAGCAAAAACTCGTACATTACATTACCAGGATTATAATCTCTTGGCATTATCTGTATATGCGCCCTTTTCTCTCGTTCAAATTACCTCATTGTTATTGACTCGACTTTGACTTCCAAGATGAAACATATAAATCACCCTATACAAATCCTTTTTAAGACGTTGCAATTTAACGGACTCTGAACTTGTTTTATTTTCTTCTCATTTATTTGCATTGTTAACTTTCTTTTTGCAATCTGCGTTGACCTCAATGCAAAACTGAAACCGAAATACCGTAAATCCTCGAATTAGCGCCCGGGGCGCTTATTTCAAATTTGGGAGAAGACNGGGTTATTTAATTTTTCCCAAATCGTGGCCTTACATGATCGTTTTTTTTAAATACATCATCTGCGCGTAAACAACAACATAAGCTCCGTTTATTGACATAAAAAGCTGATCCTTAAGTTTAAATCGCGGTGTACTTTAATAGTTAGCAATATTTTAAATTGTAGAAGATTAATCTGTATACATAGTCTTTCGTAATAAGTTGTAGCTTTTATATTAAATTGTTAAATTGTTCATGTATTTACCGTGTTTTTAAATAAAGATGATGATGATGATGATGATGAT